CCTGCCGAGCCCCGCCGCCTGGGGCCCGGCGCCCGCCGCGGCTCCTGTGGTAACAGCAATGAGCAACCACCGCCGGGGGGGCCCGGCCCGATCCGACCCGGCCTCCCCCGCCCCGGCCCGGCCCCACCTCCTCATCCTCGGAGCCCCCGGACTCGGGGTCTTCGGGGCCCGCGTCCCCCTCCGCGATGGTGCCCACCAGGCCCAGGCTCTGCAGCATGGCCGCGCCGCCGCCTCACGGAACGGAACGGAACGGCCCGAACCCGCGCCTGCGCTCAGCCCGACCCGGCGCTCGCGGGGGGGGGGGCGGGGCGACGTCTAACCCCGCCCCCTTCTCCCTCCAGGCCCCGCCCCTTCCCCCTCCCGCCCCCGCCGTGCGGGAAAGGAAAGCGAAAGCAGGTGCGGGGCGGGGGCGTCGGGACCGGGGGACGGGAGACGCGCTGTCCGGGACACGGACCGGTGTTTGGGGACGGTGGGATGCGCTGCCCGCTGGGAGCGGGACGGGCTCGGGGGAGGGTGGGGAACGCCGCCCGCCGGAGCCGGTAGCGGGGAAGGGTGAGGGGTCTGCCCGCCGGGAGCGGGGGAGGGCGGGGAACGTCACCCGCCGGGGGCCGTGACGTTACCGGGAGAAGGGGGATCGGAGGTTGGTGCTCACCGGGGCCAGGAGCGGGCAGGTGCTGGGAGAAGGGGGATTTGGGATCGGGAAGCGCTGCCCGTCGGGGCTGGGAGCGGGCCGGTACCGGGGGAAAGGGGACCGGGGGTTGCTGTCCGCCGGGGTCGGGAGCGAACCGGTAGCGGAGAATCGAGGATCCGCTCGCTGATGCCGGTAGCGGACCGGTATTAGAGGAAGGGATATCGGGGGTTGCTGCCCACCGGGGCCGGGGTCGGGCTGGTACCGAGGTGAGGGGGATCGAGGGGTTGCTGCCCACCGGGACCGGGGTTGGGCTGGTACCGGGGGAAGGGATATCGGGGGTTGCTGCCCACCGGGGCCGGGATCGGGCGGGGCTGGGAGCGGGCCGGTACCGGGGGAAAGGGGACCGGGGGTTGCTGTCCGCCGGGGTCGGGAGCGAACCGGTAGCGGAGAATCGAGGATCCGCTCGCTGATGCCGGTAGCGGACCGGTATTAGAGGAAGGGATATCGGGGGTTGCTGCCCACCGGGGCTGGGGTCGGGCTGGTACCGAGGTGAGGGGGATCGAGGGGTTGCTGCCCACCGGGACCGGGGTTGGGCTGGTACCGGGGGAAGGGATATCGGGGGTTGCTGCCCACCGGGGCCGGGATCGGGCTGGTACCGGGGAAAGGGATATCGAGGGGTTGCTGCCCACTGGGGCCGGGGTCGGGCTGGTACCGGGGGAAGGGGGATGGAGGGGTTGCTGCCCACCGGGGCCGGGGTCGGGCTGGTACCGGGGGAAGGGAATCAGGGGTGGGAGGGCGGCGGGGCCGCCAGTGAGCCGGTATCAGGGGAGGGCTGAGGACGACGGGGGCGGTGGCGGCGGGGCGGCCCTTGCGGGGAACTGGAAAGCGAAACTTTCGGTAGCGTCGGGGCGGTCCCGGCGGGTCCCGGGCCGTGCGGGAAGCGCGGGGGAGCCCAGCCCGACAGCGGCTGTGTTGGGGTGCAGGAGCGGCGCAGCCCCGGAGCGCCCCGACGTCCCGCTGAGGAGTGTCCGGGCCGAGCGATGGAGGGAGCTGGGCAGGAGCCGCGCCGGCAGCAGCCCCCGGCCGGGGGAGGGAGAGGTGAGAGGGTGACCCTGCGAATGGGGGGCAGAAGGGTTTGGGGGATGAGGGGGGTACAGGGGGATCCGCTACTTCCCAAGGGAGGGTTGATGGAGGAGGGAGCCAGACTCTTTTCAGTGGTTCCCAGTGAGAGGACGAGGGGCAACGGGCACAAGGTGGAAC